TAATGTTTTTTTTGTGTGTGTGCCACGAATGGATTGCAGTTGTTCATTTCCCAAAGAGCTCTCCTATCTGTGTGTGTTTGTGCACAGGTTTTTATGCTTCATGTGAGTTAAAGTGATAAAGAAGAAAGATAATCTCCTCTCCATTACTCTAAGCTACAGAAGAGCAGGATCTACCATGACACACATTCTGTACTGTATATGCATCCTCTCTGTTCTCAGTTCTGTTCATAAAACAAATGTTTAACCTTCCTCTCCATCAGTGTGGCGAGTGTGCCACTATCTGCCAGCATCACAGCTTACAGTATGTGCCACTAAGGAGCTTGAGATGATTAGCCCTAGCTTGTCTCCTGTGCACTAATTGCCAAGCCCAGTATCACCTTCACTGTTAATTAGTCTTAACAAGATAACAGAACACCAATTAATGTGTAATTTAAAAAAAAATTGCATGGATTGCTCTCTGTTGTGTGGTTCAAATACCAAGTTTTTTTTTTTTTGCGTTGTCACAGATGCTGCACAAATCAACCCAAAATGTTAGATTGTGACTTAAAATAAAACAAATCTTGTTTATTGCTTTGTTGTAAACAATGTGCTTGTTTATTGTGGGAAGAAATGAGAAGATCAGTCAATCAGTAAAACTTGTATTTGTAGAGTATGTTTCATAGTGTCAAACATAACAAACAGTAAACAGAGGAAAATTCAGTTATGTCAATTGAACACCTCATGTTAGACACTGAATTGCTGTGCAAAGAGAAAGTACAGCACATGGCACAGTGTCATCACACAGTATGTTTATTTTTTTCTTTCATAATGAACACAGGACATGAGCACACACTTACACACACACAGATACTCTGTTTCCCTGACCAGTATATGCACAGGTACCTGCTAACATGTGCCCAAAGACTGTTTGTACATGCTTATGAGCTTCCACATATAAAGACACAGACCTGCGGCCGCTGTTTCATTAGAGGTGTCACAAACTTGAATTGTAAATCAGCTCACTCCTTCACCTCAGGTTTCAGGCTCCCTCTTCTTCTTTTATTTTTATGCAAAACACATTGTGAAAGGTCAGTGGACAGAGGCAGCTGAAAAAAGCAAGACCATGATGGTCAGGTGTGTGTTTCTATGTATGTGTATAGATGTGCGCATGTGTGCCTATGAGTATGAGTGTAATTCCTTGGTGTGCATGTGAGCATGTGAGCTCAAGTGTGCTTTCAGTGGGGGTGAAGCTATGTCTCCTTTGCATGCTGTGCTCATTGAGAAGTGGTGTCTG